CTTGTCAATCAAACAGGGCCTAAAAGTAATTCAGGAATTGGAAAATCTTTTAAAAATTAGTTTTCGAACAAAAATTAAAGTAACTTCTTCCAAAAGTTCTTCTGCAAAAAGTAAAAGCAAAATCAAAATCATGTTAAATGGAACCTAAGAGACTTTAAGGCCATGTTTGATATCTTTCATTTTTCATGGAACTTGGAAATCATTTTCCATTTTTCTATCTTTTACAATGTTTGATAGGCAAAATTTTCCTTAAAATTGGGTTTCCTCCCAACCCCCACGTGACCTGCTTTTATTGATTTTCGTTGAATTTGTTTTCTCACCACTTCGATGGGAAAATTGTTTTCCAACTTTAAAAAAAAAAAATTTTTTTTTTTAAGCAATAGAAACAAATTCTATCCCCAATTGTAACAAATTTTATCACTTTAATGAACAATTTTCATGTAAAATAAAGGCAAACGAACACCAAAAGATTCACAATTTCAATGTTTTCCACGTGAAAAATTATACTAATCAAACACAATTAATTGACAATCCACAGGAAAACAATTCCATCGAAATTTCACTCTTACAATCAAACGGATCCTAATTATTATTCAATGCTTATTTTTAGATATTTATAATTTAAATCGTTTATAAACACCTTTCATACATACTTTTAGATATCTAGACATCACCATAATCAACAAGATTTTGTACTCATCTTTATTATTAAATTGTTAAGTTATATCTAATATGTACGCCCTTGTTTGAGTCACATTAATTTTTTCATTCTCATTCTTCTACTCGCTTTCAATCACAAATTTTTCAATAAAATAATATTTTCCATCATTTCAATAATTTTTCCTTCTTTTTCAACCACATATTCTCCATCACATCACTTCAAAAAAATGCATTCTCTCATTTTATATATCAAGAAATATAAAAGTTAGATGTGCATTAATAGTCTATTATTGAAACTATTCAGTTATTTCTAGAAGTGCATATTAAAAGTTATGAGGCTATTGAATGGATGCCGGACTTTAAACATTAGGAACTAATGCTATCAACAATAAACCATAACTAAGCCCCACGGTGCTTCATAATTCTTCTCAAAATTCAAAATTTGCTTGCTTTCTCCTTTTTTCAATTAAGAGAGAGGTCCGACTAAAGCTCGATCTCTAATTTATTTCCGATTTCCAACTTCTGTTAAGCCAAACAAACTATTATTTATTGGTATTATAAGGACGTGTTTGAAGTATATTTTTTAGAATAAATTTTGTAAAAAGTAAAGTAGGCAAAAATTTATGAGTTCATGAGTAAAATCATTTTATTGAAAGAATGTGTGACTAAAATGAGTTTTTTTTTTTAAAAAAAATGTACCAAACATGAGATAAATCTTGAATTTTCATTTTAAAAGGTTAATTTTTTAATATAAAACATCAAGTCTTGTTATGGTATCAGTGACTGTTAAGTTTAAACTAGCAATTCGCCCAGATTGAGATTCAAATGAGAATACGAATTTCAAGATTGATATGTTTTGGTACGTGTTAAGAATAAAAAAATCCGCGGCGAATAATGTTGAAGTAAATACACACTACCATTGTTTAGAGCACCAAAAGCGCACTTTTCATTTTATATGATAACTTTTTAATTTTAATTAGATTAGGATTTTAAATCAGTTTAGAGTTAATCGTTATTTTAATTATGTTCATTATTTAGAGTAGGAGTTTAGTCGTTATATACGAGTTTCAAGACTTGCGTTGAATTTGAATATAATAAAGAGTTTTTAAAAGGTTCTCAAAAAATCTCTCTCTCTCTCTCTCTCTCTCTCTCTTTTTGTTTGTTTGTTCATGAGCGAATCAACAAGTTTGAGTTTTTGTTC